CCAGGAGTGTCAGGAAACCCCATCCCTGGTGCCCCAGGCCCCCCCTCAGCAGCTGCTGGCCAGAGGGAAGAGCTCTGGGTCTGATTCCGTTCTTGTCTCCCCAAGGTGGTGGACGGCGAGGTGTACCCCCCGACAGTCACTGATGCTCCAGTTCACATGGTCTACCCGTCTGCCATCCCCAAGGAGAAGCAGCTGGCGATAGGTGTTTGGGCTGCTGCCGGGGCTCTGCATGTACGCCACGCTCTGGCTGCGTGAGCACAACCGCGTCTGCGACATACTGAAACGGGAGCATCCCACCTGGAGCGACGAGCAGCTCTTCCAGACGGCTCGTCTCATCCTCATCGGTGAGGACCGGCAGTGCCGCAGGGCACGGGCACCGTGGAGCCCCATGTCCCGCCTCCCTGGGCAAGCCCCAAGGACTTGGGGTCTCTGTTGAGGGTGGTGGCCAGGCTGGCTTTAGAGGCTGGGGGATTTTCTGTGGCAGCCTTCTGGGGATTGTTTGCTTTGGTCCATATAGAAAAAATCGGCTCTGGTCCATCAAAAAAATTAATTCTGAATAATTTTGTCATAATTTTGAATGATTTAATCTTAATGTTCATTAGAAATTTACTATAATCTCAAAAATCCAGAAAAAAAGCCATGTCACCACATTACCTCCAAGAAGCGTATCGAGGTCAGCTTCCTCGGGAACCGTTTCAGTTTTGGCAGGCTGACCTTTGCTGGTGGAAAAAAATCATTCACTAAAAAATTCCCAACCAACTCAACAAGCCCGTAGTCAGAAAGGTCCCGGGTGGTGGATGGATGCTGGGACACGCTGCCGTAGCACGTGGGTAACATCGCCCGGGTGCAGAGCCAGGAGCTCCTGCTGCTGCCAGCTGATGGCCACTTCTCTTGCCCCCTGCCCAGGGGAGACCATCAAGATCATCATTGAAGACTACGTCCAGCACCTCAGCGGGTACTTCCTCAGCCTCAAGTTCGACCCTGAGCTGCTCTTTGGGACGCAGTTCCAGTACCGGAATCGCATCGCGGTGGAGTTCAACCAGCTCTATCACTGGCACGGGCTGATGCCCGACTCCTTCGTCATCCAGGGGGAAGAGTACAGCTACGAGCAGTTCCTCTACAACACCTCCATGCTCATGGACTACGGCGTGGAGGCGCTGGTGGAGTCCTTTTCCAAGCAGATTGCAGGAAGGGTAAGGTCCCGCGCTCCCCTCGCTGCCGGCGCCGGGGCTGTGGAACGCCGGGAGGGATGCGCTGCGCTTTGGCACAGCTTGTTCTTGTTCTTGGGACTCTGTAGTAAAGGTGGCGGTGACGCCCGGAGCCTGTGGGGAGCTGGGAGCCCCTGGCCCAGCCTGGGCACCGGAGCAGCTTGTCTGGCACTGTTCTTTGCTGCCATCGCATGGATGTTTTCTTCCAAGCGATTACATCTACATTTCTGACTCTTCATGTGCAAAGCGACGCGGCTGAGGCACAGACTTGCTGCTCTTGGGGTGTTCAGGTTCTCCCCCGTAATCTCTCCCCTCCTCCCAGACCGGTGGGTCACCGTCTGTCCGGGGCTTCTCCTGCACCATTCCCTGACCCGCGCTGGGAACAGGACCGGCTCTAACCCAAGCTGCTCTACAGCTTTTTTTTGGCAGTGGCCAGCGATTCCCCCTCTTCTCGCTGCCGCGATGACGCGCTGGTCCCCGCAACACCACGCCCAGGACGTGGACGCTTTAGCGCGGGGTGGTGGGGCTGCGCTGCAGCTCCCTGGCGCGGATGCCGGTGCCGCCTCGTGCCTCACGCGTGCTCCTCCTCGTGCTCTCGCCCTCCAGATCGGCGGGGGACAAACCATCAACGCCAACGTCTTGGAAGTGGCCGTTGGGGTCATCAAGGAATCCCGGCAGCTGAGGCTACAGCCGTTCAACGAGTATCGGAAGCGGTTTGGGATGAAGCCCTACGAGTCCTTTCGGGAGCTAACAGGTAGGGCTGCGGTGCTGCCGCAGG